AACTTTTGGGAAAGCAAGGCTATGTGAAATTCAATGGGAAAGTCAGCTCAACTCATATCATTGTGGGAAATTTATACTACCAGTCCTTCATCACCTTACACGAAATGGGGTGAATACATCTCGAAGGAGATTGCCTAGAAAGTTGTATTAAAGCCAATTGACAGTTGGTCAAGAGGACTCCGCTGTTGGTCGCCAGCAAAAATACTTTCACTCGAAATGAAATTAAGTCAAATTGAATGGCATCTATTTGTGGGAAAAGTGAACCGTTATTCCTTAAGTGACCGTAAGCGACCAAGACTGACCAAGTTTCATATTGAAATGACGAGATGCCTGAAAAAATGTGTACTTGAAGTGGCTATCTTTGTAGCCGGACCCTTGTTCTCTTGATTTTCTGTTGTTGGGGTATCTCGCTTTCTCGTGTTGAAGCTGTTCGTCACAGAAAGAGGGGCGACAGGTCAGCATGACTTCCTCGCAGGTGGGCGAGGTCTTCTTCACCCAAGTCGACAATTGCCAGTTGCAAAGAAAAACCGGTTTCGGTTTTCAGTCAGATCAACTGACGAGCTGCTTCCATTCTCCTTTTTGCCAACAAAATGAATGCTGAAAGGGCATAAAAGTGATGAAGTTGGCTGAAATTGCATCGGATTTGCGCTGCTTCCACCTTACTTTGTCTGATCTATTCACGTGAGCCTCGTGTCCGGCCCCGTAAGCAGGACTGATGGGAGATTACGTGTCTGTTTGTGCGTTAGTATTCGACTGCAACACCACCGCCTCCGCGATTGGGTGAATGTGCAGGCGAAGACAACCGAATGTTGGCAGATGAACGAACAAATGGATAACTGGCAAGGTGCAGTTGAGGCTTAAGGTACAGATTTCCACGACTATTTGACCTACATTATGTAATTATCAATGATGGTGCAACCGCAGAAGGCGGGAGTTTGGGTTGGGTCGAGCTGCGGATGAAGGCGGTCTTCTCGGGGCTGTTGAGCAATCTGGTCGTGGGCCACGGCGCATGTGACCTTTAGTGAACACCTGCCCGAAGAGGGAAGGATGACGCCTTGTCCCGGTCGGAGGGTCCATTCGATGGCAATTTATGTAACCAGGCGAAGGCCATGTTGTTTGCAC